ACTACCACCAAGGAATCATTTTAGGAAATCGTATCGCAGGGCAGTCCATAAATCTTACTACACCAAAAAGTAATAAAAGATTGTTTAAAGTTACTCAAAATAAGTAACAATTTCATAAAAACATGAAAGATGTGCTTGAAAACTATTTTATAGTAGAATGATACTTTGTTTGGAATAAATCAAGTACATTGTATCAATTGTCTTTAAGCTAAGCACATGAGGGATAAGTTGCAGTCGTTGTATTTATTTTATTCAATATACACAGCTGTACAAGAATCGGTAAAAGTAACAAGAATAAACAGAGTTTATGTAAACAGTATTTTACAAGACATCGCTGATATCAATATTTCAAAAAGTGACTCACAGCAAAATGATGTTCATTTTTTAAATATTACATAACTCACATCATCTGCTGTGTTGAAACATCAATTTCCCCATGGATAGCTAAAATGAATGGGAAAAAACCTTTATCAGCGGGGGACATGTTAAACGCAAATGTGTGATGACTGACAGGCACAATCTGACAATATCAAAGCAGGGATCCTGTGGAAGTCTTAAATATCCGAAATAGGTCACCACCAATTCCCTCTTTTCATCACAAATTCGCAAAATATTCCTGTTTATAGTCTGCACTTTCCTTCAGGGGATTGGCGCAAAAATAGCCAAATTTTTTAGTAAAAGCTGAAAATTTACCCAGATTTTGTTTGTTTGCTTAAATTAGGATTCATTAACTTTTATGGTTTTGATAAGGTCAAAAACATGTGAATCCTTTAATGGTATTAATGTATTGAAAATATCTGAAAATTTCAAAATTGGGTCAGTTTTTAACTGCATGTTTAATTCAGGTTGTAAAGTGTGATTTAAGCAACCCTCTATAATATGATCCATTCTTACCATCTTCTTTATTTAATATATTTTGTGAGTTTGTTGCTAAAATAGGTCTTAATTTCACAAATATAATTCGCCCCAAAAAATCTCCCAAAATATGTGAAATTGGATGAGCTGAAACTGAATGAAATTTGATGAGCTGAGACCAGAGACACCCAGTGATATTTTTCAAATGATTTACTACTGTAAAATACTTTATTTTCACTTGGAATTAATTTTCTCTATTTTCGCTGAAGGAATGATTCAGTGAAAATAAAATCCACTGAATATACCTTTTTGACTCCTATGTGCGAAGAACACAATGGGAGTCTTTGCAGTTAGTTTGTATGTATGTGTGTGTATGTGTATGTGTGACCGTCTGTTCCACTGCTATCTCAAGATCCATACATCGTTTTTTTGATGAAACTTGGTGCATAGATGCTCTGAACTTATGCGCAGATTTGATTAGTTTTTGGTAAAAATCCTTGCATACTAATTACCTAATTTGCATAACAATTAGTCAATTTTTTTTTCACTGATACCTCAAGTACTAATCATTTCAATAAAACTTAGATGTCATAGGTTACTGCACAGACCTGATAGTTTTTAGGGTAATATCAGTATGATATGCATAATTAATTAATTTTCAGCTTTTCATATTTCAAGTAGTAAGCATTACATTTCAATGAAACTTGATACATAGATACTCAAGGAATATGCAGAGACCTGATTAGTTTCAGGGTAAATAATTGTGCATATTAATTACCTAATTTTCATAATTAGTTTTCAGCTTTTCCATCAATATCTCAAGTACAAGTAATTTTGAATTATTTTTAATGTGTCTCCAATACTCTCAGCACATGGGAGTTCTTTCTAAGCTTTCTTTGATTTCCTATATTTTACATTCAACTCAGTCAAAAATCAGTGAAAATAAAATCCAGCTAAAATAAAGTATTTTACAGAACCTGGAAAAACAAAGAAATTATATTGAACAGCAGCTTGTGTCATATTGTTTGACATTTCTCAGTGTTTGATATCTTAGTTCAGCTTTATGTTTACTAACCATATGTTCTAACTGCTTTAAGTTCTTGAAGAACTTCAATAATTTGATTTAAGGTAGAGAAATTAATGGTTGTGTTTTAGTCGAAAATCACCATTTTGGCAGTATTATAGTGCTTTTATTTTACCATAGGTTCCTATAGCAGAGATATTATGCAATACCTCAAAATCTAGCCTGGTGACATATAGGCTGAACAAATTATATATTGTTAATGATGGAGTACTTTTTGTTGTTCCAAATTATTTAAAAAATCTGGGTTTTAAAAAGTGTCAAAAAATGCAATTTTTCTTTAACATTGTGTTCTATAGAATTGTTCTAAAAATAGCGATTTTCAAGAAATATTAGAACACATTTTTCAAAAATCTTAACTGTAACACACAAAATAATGCTATTTCATTGTACCATGGCATATTAGCTTCATGACTGTACATAATAAACTAATGAATACTTTCATGCGATTTATAACCAATTTTGTCAAAAATTATGAGTAGGGGTCTACCTTAACAAAAAATTTTATGCAATATTTTGCCTATTTTTATTTACGGTTCCATGATAGTTTTGATAATTTTTGAACTAAATGGGCATAATTTTTTATCAGCTACAGCTCTAGATCAAAATTTTGGAAAAAATCTGAAAAATATAACATATTTTATTTTGTGAATGTGAGAAGATTTGTCTTTGGTGCTCAAATGGTTAATGATATGCAAATTACCTAATTAATATGCACAGAAGTTATATAGAACTATTTTGTGAATGGTGACAAAAGTTGACTTTGGTTCTCAAAGGGTTAATGATATGCAAATTACCTAATTAATATGCACAAGACGGTATATAGAACTACTAGTATTATGTGAATGGTCAGAAAAGTTGACTCTGGTGCTCAAAGGGATAATGATGTGGAAATTACCTAATTAATATGCAATAGACGGTATATAAAACTATTATGTGAATGGTCAGAAAAGTTGACTCTGGTGCTCAAAAGGATAATGATGTGGAAATTACCTAATTAATATGCACAGACGGTACATAGGACTATTATGTGAATGGTAACAAAAGTTTACTTTGGTGCTCAAAGGGTTAATGATATGCAAATTACCTAATTAATATGTGCATGCGGTATATAGAACTATTTTGTGAATGGTGAGAAAAGTTGTCTTTGGCTCTCAAATGGTTGATATGCAAATTACCTAATTAATATGCACATATGGTATATGGGACTATTATATGAATGGTGACAAAAGTTGACTTTGGTGCTCAAAGGGTTAATGATATGCAAATTACCTAATTAATATGCACAGATGGTATATAGAACTATTTTGTGAATGGTGTGAAAATTTGTCTTTGGCGCTCAAAGTATTAACACAGGAAAACAGTGGCATAATAAATTTGCATTTATATCGTATTATTGAGTTTATTTTGATATTTTTGTTTCATATTTTTCAAAGGTACAATGTCTCCTGCAAGATGTTGGCTCTCACATAGCAACACCAAGAACTGCATTGTCAGAAACTAAACTTAGTGAGTATTGACAATCATATCACTTTTCTTGTGTAAACATTCCTCTACAAAAGTTTCCTATAGGGTTCCTATAAGAATCCTATAAGTAATATTAAGATTCCTATAATATTTTGACACATGTTTTTCTATCCTCGGGGGCGGACATCCGGGCATTTTCTACCGCCTGGCAACCCTTGCGGTGAAAACAAAGACCAACGGTACTTTGCGATGGTTGTTGAGAGTCCCCTGAACAGTGTAACAAGATTAGCTCTACGTGTGCAACATATATGAATTTAGTTGTTCAGGATTACTTCAAAGTTGAGTTTGTGTTGTTTTCTCGAGTTTTCACCGGCTCCACGGGCGTTCCACAGCAGCGCGCACAAAGCCCACAGAAATACGTGGTACAATGGTGCGCGTCTTAGCAACGTAGAACGTCTTGTGACGTAGCTCCACCCCCGAGGATAGGAATCCTATTGGAATTTGTGTCAAAATATTATAGGAATTTGTCCTATAGGATTTGATGTCAAAATATTATAGGAATGCTATTAGAATTTGCCTATAGAAATCCTATAGGATTTTGTGTCAAAATATTATAGGAATCCTACAGGAATTTTTCCTATAGGAAATTGTATTGACAATCATATCAGTTTTCTTTTGAAAACCTTGGGGTAGCTGGTAAAATGCCCCACCCCCAAATTCCAAAATGTGATCTGGTGTGAGTGGGAATGACGAACAACATTTTTTTTATCCTTATTTGATGCTATTAAAATTATAATAGTCACTCACAATTAACACATGAAAGCCTCCAGACTAATTTTGGAAATCTAGTTCAAAAAATATTGTTTTTATTATAGAATTTATATGTATATGCAAATGTGATACCTTCTATATTGCACAATTTTACCGGTATAATAATAATAAGAAGCAAGTACTGTTAGTAGAAAAATGTTTATAATTTTTTATTGTCAATGTGTATTTCACAGAAAGAACTGAATTCAGTATTGATAATGTAGTAGAACTTGAGAATTGGATAGACATGTATACTGATCAGCTCCCACCACTAAGGAATTTCATAGTACCTGTAAGTACATTGTAGAAGCATTCTTTATATTTTTCAAATTTTGAACTTTTTTTTGAACATCAAAGTCAACTTTTGTCACTGAAACAATATTTTTTTTTCCATAATACAATTGAATAATTTCATTTAATTTAATATAATTTTATAATATTTAATAATATATTTATTATAATACACACTAATTAGTAGTGATTAGCTTCCCAACCCAAATTAAATTGTTATTGTTACCAGATTGAGATGTACTGGGTACTGTCCTCTCTGAACTGACATGCTCTTGCCATTTTGTTTTTGCCAGCACTGTGTTCATTCATTGCACAGTGATATGACTAACTACATGAATATGTGTTGCATAAATCAACTAATTAATAACAATCATTTGACAACAAATATTTTGGATTATCAATATTCATCTAAACACTAACATTATCGTTTTTAGGACATCAACTAGTGGTACTAATTGTGCCATGTCTATATGTTTGCAAATTAAAAGTGTACTGTAGTAAATAGAATAATGCCAGTAAATGTAGTTTTTATTAACACAACTGAAACCATCATAGGATTAAGTATGCTATATATTACAATGACATTGTTTGGGGGCAGTTTACATACTAAAGTATATTGGGAGTAATGTGTAGAAATGATTAGTTTTAGCTTCTCTGACTCGTATGGAGTTTGATTTCCCAGATATTTTTTTAAAACACCAGTCAGGGTTTTTTCTAAAAAAAACAAACAAGGGGGAGCACTGCAATTCAGCAGCGCCACCAAGCGGGGTAGATGCAGTTCTCCCGTGGGGGGGGGGGGGGGGGTTTACTTACAAAAAATACTGACATGGGTGTGTATCTGGTTGTTTGAAACCCCTACCCCTTATCAGACAGAAATAAACTCAAATTGCCTACCCCTTTTCAGACAAACTGGATATTTGACACCCCTTTCCAGACAGTAAGCATAAATGGTACTAAGGGAAAAGCAGGTGGACTCCCGGGGATGGACTTTGACGATGGAAATGAAGTTGCAGAAAGAAAAAATCAGCTTCATTCTCCTGATTGTTGGGTCACTCAAGCTCCAGAAACAGTGTTTGAAAAATATGAATCCCTTTTCTTACAGAAATAATGAAAAAAAAAGACATCAGGGTTTTGTTTAGAAAAAAACTGCAAAAGGAAGCACTGCAATTCAATGGGGCCAAAAAGTGGGGGAGATAGGGTTCTCCTTACCAGGGTGTGGAGTTTTTGATAATTCTAAGTTAAAATGGAGCATTCTATAGCTTCCTTGGGGCCAAAATTACTATCTGACAGGTCACAGTTGAAGACTGTGGCCACATGTGATCCCTGGTCAATCAGAATTTTATGGTTGCCAGAGGATCTGCTCCCCAGGGTAAGAGGGTGCATAGCCATGGCATGAGGGTGCTGCGCTCCTGTTCCCTGCCAGTGACTGATTATATCCTGTATTCACTAAGGAGCTCTGCAAAGTTTAACATTGATTGTATTGTATCTTTTGTGTGGTCTTAAGGTAATCAGTCATTTACTGAGAAATCTGGCCAGTTTAAATGATTTCATTATATATAAAAGAAATAAAACTAAGACTAGTGATAGAGAAGTGTCTCGTCAGAAAAATACGTTTTATGAGCATTTATAAACATGTCTATCTTTTATCTTTTATTAGTAGCAGTTCATGTTTTATTGCATTTTGTGGTTTTCAGTAAGTATTTGTTGACAGCTGTTTAGTTGTTCGTGTCTTCGAAATATAATATTCTTGCAAAGTATACATCTACTTTAAATTTTATTTCCATTCTAAGTTACTACAGGCAAGTAATTTAGTTTGACTATCAGGCTAATATTACCGGTATTGTCATTTATATGGTTCACTAGTCTACATTTAAGCAGTATTTTCTAGCAAAGATTGAGGAAAGAAAAGAAGTTGTAATCATCATTTCCTTGTGATTGTAATAACTCAAACAGTTGTCATTAAATTTTCTCACAGCCATTCTAAGAATTATTCGAACAGTCAGTTAACGAAACGGCTCGCAACTTTGCAAAACACTTTCGCTTTTGCTTTGCGTTTGCTTTCTTCTAGACTTGATGGCGCTGCTTGACAGATGGCGTGCTGTGTATGAGCCCTAACTATTTCATAGGGTGATTAGTATAATGATTTGACGGTTAGTGCGTCTGTGTGTATGTATGTATATATGTCTGTATTTGTGTGTGTTTGTGTATTTGTGTGTGTGATACCAACGTTTTGACGACTTCAATTTAACTTTACACCTACATTGTGATGACCTTCACTATTTTCATAATTTATATTAATATTTAATAGAATTTAAGTCAAGTTTGCATAGCAAACTTCAAATTTGTTGCATGCAATAAATACAATTTTTGCTTCATTTTTGAATTGGAGATGTGCTTCTAATATAGTACCAGGTAAATACAGTATTTCTTGTCTGTACTTAATGCCTCCAATACCTTCAGCACACAAGAGTTCTTTTTAAGCTTTCTTTGATGAATATGAGGTTATTACGAGGATACCTCAAAGTATGCCCAAAGACAGTACAGCGGTAGTATCGTCGACGTGCAGCCATGTTTGTTTTTATTATTAGAGGACGCTTACACGTGTTATCATTTCTATATTTGGAATTCGTATTTTCTTATATGGTAGGATGAAAATACCCCATAAAATACAGCAAAATTACGGCATGCTGTAATGTATGGCGTTATGGTGACAGATGTATAATAATAACTTTTATTCCCAATTTTTATTTATTTTTTGTCAAAACTGATTCAATCCAGCCTTCACAGCACTCTTACTGCTGCCCCGTAATTAATTCTAATTAAACCAATCATGTACCGATGGTTCAAAGAAATATTTTTTGATTATTAAATTATGAATGAAAACATGTTGAACATATAAAAGATGAAAATGACATATGATTTTAGTTGGTACATATGTTAGTAATTTACGGATTTCAGACGTCTTTGATATCGCATTCCATGTCATTAATTTTCATGTCTTTCATGAAATGCAAGTTATTTGAATTTGACATCATTAGTTGACCCAGCTACACAGCTTCCTATATCCCTTCTCTATTCCCTATTGTATGTGCGCGTTGAAAGACATTACACTAAATGATACAACTCTCACACTGGTATGTGCCCACTTATTTTGCTCGTATCATATTTTGACTTAAATTTCAACTAAATTGGTCCCTTATATCGTTTATTATGTGAATAAGTCTGATGACAATATTGGGTGAGTAGAGTGAAATGCTGCTTTGTATTGGTGTTCTATAGTTTACCACTTGTCTGTTTAAAGTACAGCTAAATTTATTGGTCAGATGAATGAATACCTTACAACTAGTGTGCATATACATCACAATATGTGGAACTATAACTTGAAATAAAACAAATCTATGACAAAACTGAGGATAAGTGTTCATACCGAAACATCAATAATGGATGTCCTATATGTATTATTGTATTGTATGTGTAGTTTACTTGTAGTTTATTTTAAAAAGCAATTTAATACAGCAATTACCAAAACTGAAATGTCCTGTTCTGTTCTGTTCTGTTCTGTTCTGTAATACAAATGAATACGAAGATAAAGAGCATTTACTTATCAGATGCAAACAATATGAAAATGAAAGATTATTTAATATGCTAAGCATGCAAAATGAAAAATATCAACTATTTTTAGTCTGAAAACACAGATGTATCGATTGACCTTATGTACATACATCTGTCGGTACTTCCATTGGACCTATATTGCTGAAATGTGGAGACTTGTTAGAGTCAACATTTTCACATAAATCATAGGACATATGTAATATTAATAACTTTAATGTATAATATATAATCATATCCACTTTGAGATATTGATCGAAAACAGTAATAAAAGGAATATAATAATATTAGTCATGATAAAATTCAAAATGGCTGACTGGTGGCCATTTGAGTTGTAAAATCAAGTATTCCTGGAAAGATTGTTGTTCAAACGCGTGTGTACATGCATTACAATAATGAAAACTGACAGGGACTATGTCATGCCATGATATTGTTAAATATGAGAAGGGGTTATAATTTCTGACAAGCTATCAGTACATGATTGAAAACCATTCTAACTCAGCTTTCAATTTATAGTACTATGAACTAGATCTCTAGTATAAGATAATCAGGAATATCACTTTGTAAAGTTGGTCGATTTGAGTAACATGCAGGCAGGAATGTGTGGAATGAATGAATGAGTGATTTTTCAAACATCTTAAAAATGAATGATGTATGCCATGGTTATGTCGTTTTAATTTATTGAATTTTATTGACAAATTTGAAACAAAATGAAGGGAACATTTTAGTATACATCTCTTTTTAGCTCCGCTGTCGACTTTGTCGAGCGGAGCTTATCATATGAGTGATTGTCCGGCGTCCGTCGTCCGTGTCAATGTTTTACTTATTGGACTTCTTCTTGAAAACTACAAGCCTGAATGCTTTGATACTTGGTGTATATGTACCTTGTGTAGACCTCTCTCAGATTTGTTCATTTCATGATCAGATCTTCAATTCTCTAATTTTGGTGAATATTTTGTCATTTTTGGTAAAAAGTGATATATACGACTTCTTGTTAAAAATCACAAGTCCAATTGCTTTGATATTACATATATAGGTACTACATGTGGATCTCTCTCAGATTTGTTCATTTTGTAATGATATCTTCAATTCTCTAATTTTGGTGAATACTTTTGTCATTTTTTGTAAAAAGTGATATTTTCAACTTCTTGTTAAAAACCGCAAGTCCAATTGCTTTGATATTACATATATAGGTACTACACGTGGACCTCTCTCAGATTTGTTCATTTTGTAATGATATCCTAAATTCTCTAATTTTGGTGAATATTTTTGTCATTTTTGGTAAAAAGTGATAATTTCGACTTCTTGTTAAAAACCACAAGTCCAATTGCTTTGATATTACATATATAGGTACTACATATGGACCACTCTCAAATTTGTTCATTTCATGATGATATCTTCAATTCTCCAATTTTGATGAATATTTTATTGTCATTTTTGGTAAAAAGTGATATTTTCAACTTCTTGTTAAAA